CGCCCAGGCGGCGAATCACGGGAAAAACCTCCGTGCCATGCGCGCAAGACGGGGCAACGAACGCTGCCGCGACAGTGCGTAGCACACATCTGGCCATGTTGTTGGCAAAGGGCTCTATTGGCGCAAGCGTGTCTTGGCAAAGCACTGCCATGCGTCTGAAAGCGTTTGAGAAAAACACTGCACGCTTGGCCGCTGCGCACGCTTTCTCATTGGCCCCATCTTGGCGTAACTCAACATGTGTGGAGGCTTGGAAATCCAAGAACCCAGGTGACGTGCTCACCGCGCCATTTGCGCTGGCGCCAATACCACAGAAGCGGCTGGAAGAGCACTACGGGATAGTTCCATCGTTGGTCACCACGACCGTGGTTGCTTGGGGCAGCGCGGAAGTGCGATATTCCCCATTCCATTGGTAACCCGGAAAGACATCGTGCCCCAACGCATCCTGAGGGTCCTGATCTCCTGGCACGACGTCTGGTTGACGTGGCGCGGGCCCTTGCAGCGGAGCTTCGCAAGACAAGTGCGGCACTTCAGCGTTGAGGAGACCAGGGCGGGCAAAGTTTGGGGGGGATCATTGCGCCTTCTTGTGCCAAAGTTTCCTCATTGGGCCTTGCGCGCTTGTTCGACTAGTCAGTGACGTTGCTGATTCTCTGCAACGCAAAGGGGTTCTCAGCCTCAGTTGACTTGCCCCATTTGGCAACAAGATCCCAAACTTCCATTTCAGTGAGGCGGCCAAGGCGGTTAACCTTGGGCGTCTTGCGCGGGGCTGCTCTCCCTCTACACGTCCATCAGAATTTCGTTTCACGGGCGATGCCCCCCCTGCACCCAAACCAGTCGGCGAGGGCAGAGATGCTGGGAGCGCGGCAAGAGGTGAGCTCCAGCCGGAATCTCGAAATAAACTACTTTGAGCGGCTTGCGCGCCATCCGCGTTTGCGTTCGCAGGCGTGCTCGGGCTGGGCGGCGCTGCCCGCTCCAGCTCCCTCGCTTTCAGGCAGGAGTGCGCCTTCGGTGGCTGCAGGTCAACCCCTGCGCCGTCTTGGGCAAGCAACGGGGCAGCGCGCGTCTTTGATTTGAGGCTCCGTGCGCCTTAAAGGAACACCGCCATTCTTGGGGTCCCCCCATTTTTACACATGCCCACCAGCAATGCTTGTGATCACTGGGTGACTTGAATCAGAATCGCATCTTCTCAATCTCCTGGAAGCACTAGTCCGACAGCTGGCTGTCAGGCCGCGGTGGCTGCACCGTGGGAAGCGGCAAGACGACAACCTGAGATTTTTCCGGATCCTGCACGCGTACTCCGCGCCCGTGCCTGGGGTCCCACGGCAGGCCACAAGCTTCTTTCATTGCGTGTAGCTGTGCCTGCGCGGGGGCGGGGAGTCTCCGCACACTGCGCACGCTCAAAGCGCCAGCCGGCGTAAGCAGCACGTGAGTATCATCGCGTTCCAGCTTTCCAGCCCAAATGCCTTTGACCCGTCGAACTTGAGATTTGGAGGGAGCTTGGCCATGACAGTCTCGCCGAACTGGCAGATTGGCTGCGTGTAGTCAACACCGTTCGCCAAGCGAAACGGCGTTTGACCGTCCTTGGTCCGTACCTGAAATCGCGCGGTGAGCCAGGCACTGTGCCGCACCATCCATGGGAACAGCTTGTGGTTGACATCAAGCTTCTCGTCGGGGTAGCGAGCTCGAATGTCAGAATGAACTTGTTCATACTTTCCACAGCGCCCTGTGATTGGTGGGAGCGCGGCGGGGATTCCCGCACGCGAACTCTTGAGGCACCGTCGAATTGCTAGCCACTGAGCGGATTGGGTTTTCCTGATCGATCTGAAGGATCGTCCGGTCATGCCCAAGGTTTTGCAAGTAAAGCTCCACGGCTTGTAGCACGTGGGCGCTGTGCGCCCTGTCCGTCAAGACCAAGACAGTGACCAACGCTGCCTCATTCTCGACCAGCTCACCATCACGCCCAAAAAACAAATAGTCCATTTGGACTTTCTGAACTCCGGCATCGCAGTCATGACGAGTATGGGGGTTTTCGCGCCCCTTGCCGCTCAGGCAGTCTGGGCACCAAGCCTGGTAAGGCAAGTGTGTGAGCATCTCCTCTGGAGACGGCTCCGCTGGCTACGGTGGGGCTCGCGGCTGAGGACGGCGCACTTCTGCACGTTGTTCCGAAGCGACGGGCTCTTCCTGGTCTTGGCCAAGCAAGCTCTGCCCACTCAGCTTGGTCCTCAGCTGCTTGCTGCTCCCTTTGGGCGAACGCTTCAACTTCCTGAGCTTCAACATCGTCCATGGGAATCTCAACCGGGGCAACTCTGCTCTGGGCATTGTCTGCAAAACAAACTGGTTGCCTTCCCGGCGGAAATCCGCTCTTGCTCCATCAGGCCACTCCATCCAACCTTCCGAAGAGCTGAAATGAAATGTGGCTCCCTGATCCACAGCCCTGTTGATGGACAAGATATCTTCAGAGATGCCATCAACAACCTGGAAAGAGACATGCGCATCCTGAGTCTCGCTATGACCAATTGCCAACCAGGGGCGGGTCTCCCCGCGCACCTGTAGAGCAGTGTCATTGACGGAGTAAAGTTCTTTGCGCTTACTCCGGTCAATTCTGGACTGAAAAACGCCTGGTCTGCACACAGATGCACAGAGACCACCAGCGCCGACATTACGCAACTTGCTGCGGCACATGTGAGTCAGCAGAATGCTTCTGGAGGGCCATCCTGGACGGACAGAACACGCTTGGCCCCGCTGATGTGCTTCACACTTCTGCTTGTCCCCGCGCTCCCAACGTGCGTTGAGTCAGCGTCCCCACCAACGTTGGCAACACCCTTACCCTTCTGGTCCTGGGGTTTGCCCTTGCTGTTGGTTTTGCCATTGAACCAGCACTCCTGTTTCCTCTGCGGCTTGTCTTTTCCCTTTTCTTTTCTTTTTCTTCCGTCTGCTCCTGCAGGCCACTTGTATACCGGCGGCCCCCGGATGTGCTTAGGGGGCATTAAGGGGGCAGCCATTTGTTTACCGGCGGCTCCCGGCTGTGCGGCTTCCGCCCGGCCGGGCCCAGCGCGGGCTTCGGCAGACGAGGCACGCCGTCGACGACGTCTGCGCCGAGGGGCGGCGGTCGTCAAGCACGCGCCGTCATCGTGGGGCAGCAGCAGCAGGCGGGAAACGCCGAAACGCCTCGGAGCGCCCGTCTAGCGAGGACGCAAGCGACAGGCCGCCGAACACTTGAAGGCACGCTTCTTGCTGGCCAGGAGCAGGTATGTATTTTTCAGGGAGGGCCAGCACATTCGTGACCCAAGGGAGGTGGACCATGGCGCCCGACGGCAGCACGGACACGGCCTGCAGCCGTACAGCGAGCAAGGCGGCGGACCCCGCTTCTGGCGCCAGCTTGAGGGCGGCAAGGAGAGTGGCGGGGCGAGTGGCGGGCGCCGAAGCAAGCTCGTGACGAGCTGCGTCCCACCAAGAGGCCGCCCGGCTGTCGGCCCTCCACTGGGCGAGGGCGTCGGGAGACAGGCGACCAGCAGCCGCGTGCAACAGGGGCACATACAGCCAGGAATTGGTTGGCCCCACGGCCTCGCGAGGCGGGCCCGCTCGCAGCCAGGCGGCTCCGGCCTCATTGGGAAGCCCAGCGTCCGGCACCGCAGGGCCGGGTGCGCGTTCCGGCGGCCCCCCTGCATCACGGTCCCAAGGTTCAGAGTCGGATGCGTGCACGTGCGCTGGCCGGACCGGCGGCATGTCAACGTCGGAAAGCATGGACAGGCCCATGTCAAAAGGCGGAGGCGACGCCGAGCTTGCAAGAGGACACCCACAGGTTAGGCGCCCGGTGCCAGCAGCAGCGTCATGTTCCCAGAGCCGCATGCGGCCACACGCGGGACACTCCGGCCTCCGCAGGCACACGCACATCTTCGCTGTGTGTGACGCGCGCGCAGCGCGGACATGCCCAGGCACCCTGCCAAGCAGCTATGCCGCACTCATGGCGCCGAGGGATTGGCGACCAAGCCGCGGCCCTGTGCGCCAGCTCGAGGAACTGCGCGTCGCTTTGCCCAGGGTCCGGCCGCACGGCGGCCAACCTGCGACAGCAGTTGACTACAACATGCACCGGTTCAGGCGGCTCTGGGGCATCCTGGCCGGCGAAGGTGCGGACGGTGTAGTCCTGCACGCTAGGTTGCGCAGTGCGCTGATCCGGCAGACGGGGCGGCGGGTGAAGGGCCTCCTCGCGGCACCAAGCCGTCAGCTGGTCGTCATGCTCCGGGGCCCACCCGTCCACGGCGCAAACGGGGCACGCGCCGTGATGACACAGAGGGCAAGCAACATCACGAGGACGACGCGCTTGAACGCGCAACTGCGCGAGACAGCCCAGGTGAAGGACATGCCGCGGGCAGACTGGCAAAGGCACGGGGCGCAATGCACCAAGACTGTTCGGGAGGAGGGGCTGAAGGCAGACACAGCAGTCATCAAGCTCTGACCGCGGATGAGCCTCATCCAGCACCTGCTCGCCCACATCCGGCGCCAAAACGCGAGGCGGCGTGACCGCGGCGGGCTGGGAGGCCCGTCCAACAAAGCATCCTCGTTTCCCTGCGCTCGGCGGGACATCGTTCAAGCTCACCAGCACACGCGTCGCGCAATTGTACACGACGCAGCGTGACAAACAGTCGCACGTTTTGCCAGCTGGAGTGAGCCAGTGAGACCGCAAATTCTGGTGACAGCCGACGGGTGAAAAGCCAGCTAGTGAAACCAAGCCCTGCCTCAGGTCAGAAATGCCGCTTTAGTCGCGAGCCGAGGGAAGGCTGGGACAGGACGGTTTGAGGGGTACCTACGCGGAACCAAGCCAAAACCAAGTGACAAGTGTTTTTTTGCAGCGCAGCCAGCACTCCAAGGCTCGCGCGCTAGGCCTGGGAGTGGCGAAGGGCCGAAAACGCTACACAACACAACGCTGGGGCCCCGGCCTTGAGGAAGCGAGCGGCCTCAGTCACAAGCCGAGGGAAGGCTAGGGTGCCGAGGCGCTCACTAAGGCCAGGCAGTGCGCAAGCTCGCGTTCAGAGAGGCGGCCGAAGCCGCGGCCGCCAAGGTGGGAGGCACCTAGGCACGGGCGCGGTGAGAGACACACGGGCGACGAACGGCGGACTCTGAGGAGCGGGCGCGCCGAAAGGAGACGGCCGCGCGGCGGCCGAGCCGCTGGTGGCCGCAAAGGGCGAAGGAAGCGCCGAACCGGGCAACGCGCCAGTGAAGGGCGACGGCGCTGCGGCCGGAGCACCGCCAGGCCCGATAGATTCATAATGCCCGACAGGAAAGCCACCCAACAGCATACCATCTATCTCCATCCTTGGCACGCCATCCGTCTACCTGCAAACTCTTGGATTGGTGGCTTGATGGGAATAGAAGGGACCCACCGCCTTATCTCCAATCCATTATCTCACCTCACTTTGCTCGTCTTTACAGGGAATGGATTGGATGGAGCGGAGGCGAGAGGAAAGGAATAGCAAGAAAGGCGAGGTGGCCACAGGGCCCCGGGGTTGGCGGCGCCGAGGTGGCGGAGGCGGCCGATGGCGGCGGCGAGGCCGAGAACACAGTGCGTGGGCGCCCCGCGGGCACGGGAGCCGGCACCGGCGAACCGGAGGAGGAAGCGGAGCGCGGCCCGGCGGCCGGTGGCGCCGGCAAACCGGACGGAGAGGTGGAGGAAGGAGAGGGCGAAGCACCCGCACCCGCAACACGCCGAGGTGGCGACGCGGGGCTGGCACGGTAGCGCCAACGGTCCGAGCCGGTAGAAAGAGACCGGCTCGGGGAGGCAGACCGAGCAGCCTCCGGCGAGAACGCGCCGAAGGAGGCAGCCGCGGCCAACGACAGCACCAGAAAACCTTCTTCCTGGTAGCGTGCGGCGGGGCACCTACCGAGCGCGCCCGGGACAGGACCCTAGGTCCGTGGCAAGAGGGAAACAAGCCCCACGCGAAAACGCCCCCACAAACAAAACACCAACCCCAAACAAGAGGAACAAGAGGGGGCCCACAACCACAGACAAACACCGTGCCCCCAAGCCACGGCCTTGAGCGTGTCAGCGCGAGTTTCACCCAGAAAATCATTCCAAAGCGTTGATTTGGAGACGCACTTTGCCCCCCTAAATTTCCACGGATTAGGTTGTACGTGGTCAAGGCTGCCGCGTGCATAGCTAGGTGTTGCCGCAAAGCAGCTGGGGATTCTGTAATCACCACTGCCCGCTTGTCTTCGTCGGGGATGGCTTTATCAGGGCCATACTCCGAAGCGTACCTGTCAAGGTCAGCTTCCCAATCCGGCAAAGCCGAAGAGAAGTCTAACTTGCGGGTCGACGTAGTCGTGTCGCACTTAGAGTTTGGATGCCCAGCGCGGGGTGCGCCGCCAGGTCTTCCCTCCGTAAAGACCCCAACTCAATGGACGTTGGGAAGGTTGGGGAGGGCAAAGACTCGAAGGGAAAAGGCAAGAAGGATCGGAGCGCAAAAGGTAAGGACAGTTTCGCCAGTCCCGTGCGGGGCATGACCGGTTGCTGGAGCGTTTGCCGGCACGAGGTGATTTGCAGGCTTCTTGGTTGCTCCTTCTCTTTTGCTGCAGTCCGCGTTGCAACTATTTGCTTCGCACGCTCGCCCCGGCGACCACTGCCGAGTATGCGCAAGACCATGATTCAGCCGTGTTGTCTGCCCTTTCTATCTTGCTTGGCACAGGCGACCTGTGACGTTGCCCAGTTGCCCCTGTCCCTTGGCGGCCTTGGCCTTGCCTCTGCTGTTCGCAATTCCGTGCCGCCTTTTGGGGCTTCCTGGGCTGACTGCTTGGCTGTTTTGAGTCGCCGCTTGCCTCGTGTTGCGCAAGAGTTTCTTGACCACCTCGACAGCCCCGACCCACAGCCAGCTTGCTTTGCGGCGGCTGCCGCAGCACGTGCAGCACTCGGCCACTCCGACTGGGCTCCCCCGGAACTGTCTGCTGGCGCGTGGCGGGAGCTGTCTGCTGGTGAGAGCGCGCCCGTGGTGCAGCCACCTTCCTTCGTGGCTGGCAGGGCCAAGCTGCAGCCGCCGAGGCCCGTCGGCATCGTGAGACCTTGCTGGCAGGCGCCGATCCTGCTGCCCAAGCGCTCTTGCACTCCCAGTCCGGGCCTTTCGCTAGCCGTTTCCTCACTACAGTGCCAGTCTCATCAGCCTTCTCCTATCCCTGCCATTTGCGTGTTCTCCTCCTGCGCCGCCTGCGCCTCCCCTTGCCTCTTGCTGAGCGCACCTGCCGGTGCCGTCGCCTTCTGGACCCTTTCGGCGACCATCGTGCAGCCTGCGCCCGGTCAGGTGACGCCTTGCGGACTTGAACCTTCAAGTTGACCGGGTCGACGATAGGCGGCTGGAGGTCGTCGCGAATTGCCTCCCACTGTGGGGGGGCCAGCAACTTGCAGTAGACACAACCCTTGTCTCGCCCCTGTCAGGAAAACAAACTTTTCTTCTTTCGCTTGCAAGGGGCAAGGTGATTTTTTTTTTTTTCTCTCCTGCGCGCTGGAAGAGGCGCGTCCCCGAGGCCGAGGACGTCGCCGAGGTCCGGCGCCGCATCCGCAGCAGGCTGCGCGGGCGAGAGCAAGGCGCTTTCACCGCACTTTTCAGCAGGTCTACGCCTCTGAAAGTACTTTGGCTGCTTGACCGGTTCTGCACATCGATCAAGGCGCCCTGTACTTGCAGCAAAGCCTCGTTCTGACGGGCCTGCCTGGATTCTACGCTGACGGTGAATGCTTGCTGCATCTCACTTTGACGAGCCTGGCGCCTGGCGCATGAGATCCATCTGCCGCATCATCTGCTGCATTATTATTTGTTCTTTCTCGCGCGCCTTTTTTTCCGTCCAGCGGCGATGAGACCCAGGGAACCCGCAACCCCCCCACCCGAAATGGCCGCCGCGCGCGCCGACGTGGCGACTAGCCGCACAAAGGCAGACGGCTGGGCCCGGACGGGCCTGACATTGTTCAGCTCAGTCTTGCTCCCTCCTGGCTTCTCTTGTGGACAGCTGGCGCTTGGCTCAGCCTCGCTGTCTCCAGGCTCGAGAGCGGGGCAACCCGCTTCGGCGGCAGGAGATGTAGGGCTTGGCCAGCACGGGCTCGACCTGCACAAAACACCCAGAGGTTAAGGAAACTGACTCACCTGTTCGCTCAGGGCTGGGTGACCTGTCAACGTCCGACCCCGGGTCGTCACCTTGAGTTTGAGCTTGTAGGCGGCGACGCTGTCCTCTGCTTCTTCTTTTTTCACACGCCTTTTTCCGCCATCGCCTTTCCTGTGCGGCTTGGCTGCGCGTCCCACGCCTATTTCTTGGTCGCGGGCGGGCAGTGGAGCTGGCAGCCTCGCGGTCCTGCCAGCTTGCCAGCTATGTTCGGACCAGCCTTGGTCACGCCAGTCGCAGGAGGTAGTAGACCACCAAGTCGTGGTGTTCACAATCTTGGCGCGGGGCTAGCCGCTGCCAAGAAGCTCGAGCTGTGCGGCGCTGACCATTACAGCTCTGCTACCATGCAACGGAGGCGGGCAGCTAGCGTATTTGGCTTTTTTCTCCGTGCACAGCTTGGTACAAAAGGAGCTACAATGAAAAACATATAAAAGCACATTTGGTTCAAACCCCCTACGGATCTTCACGGGACAAAGCATGCACGACATTCATGAAATCTTAGCAGTCCTGGAACTTGCATCCCGGCCTTGGCTCAGGGAGCTCTTTTGCAGTTGTTTCTTGGAGAGCGCTTGGCCTGGGCCGCGTCGCAAACCGTTTCCGTGCCAGCCCTGGCGACGTGCCCCACGCCCAGCCCGCAACTGCCTAGGCGGCGGCGCCCTGTCGTGTCCGGGCCCCCTTGGACTTCCGGCCCACCCCATCCCCTTGGACTTCCCGGGAAACTCACCAGCGCCCCCACACATGTCTCGTCGGCACACTTGCGCGCTGCCGCCCTGCTAGCCCTGAGCTCCCTGCATTGGTGCGGCTACTGCCCCCTTAGCAGCAGGCGCCAGCACCCAACCATAGCTCTCGCTCTGCTAGCCAGCCCCCCTCGCCAAAGGCCCAGCACGCGGCCCATTGGAGCGCGGGGGCAGCTGCCTTTGCCCTTGCAACCCTCCTGGATGAGGCGGCGCCGCTTGCGAGTGATGTGCTTGAAGCCCACATGAGTATCTTTGACCGTGTCCGGCGCGGCACCCAGGAACATGTGAGGACGCTGGCCTCGAAAACTCGACTGCCTGATTCTTTGGCTCCCTCCCTGTCTTTTGTTCTCCCCCGTTTTGTTTTGATCCGACATGCTTCGCCCTGCCGTGACGTGCGCGTAGAACCCGACGACAGCGCGAGGCGGGGGCGCCTGAGGAAGAAAAAACGCAGAACGAAGTGGACGAGCAGTTGCGGCGCGCCCGCCACGTGTGATGACCGGCGCCACTAACACATGATCTGCGTGCGGCCCAGCAGCCGCCGTCGGCTGCAACAAACGCTGACGCTTTCCGGCGTGCACACGCAACGTTGCCTTTCCTGAGGCCGCTCCGTTCCTCTGCTCCGCCTACTCCAGGCCAAACGACACTTTGGATCTGCTCGAGTGGACGGGCCGCTGACACCACCCTGGTTTTGCCCCCGACTCCAAGGCGTGGTCAGCTCCAGCAAGTGCGGGCCACCAGCGTCAGGTGCTTTTGTTTTTGCACTCGCTTTGTCCCAAACGAGCTGAGGCGTCTTGTGCCGCTTCCGCCGCCCATGCGTTCGCTCGCAACTTTCGTGACCTGCCTAGGCCCGACGTGTGCAACCTTGATGGGCCTGTGCCGGATGGCCGGATGTCAGCGAAGTCCTTCCTGGGTTGGCTCGGGAGGAATTTTCTGGCTGTGATTCGGGCGGCTCGGGGGGAACTTTCTGGTTGTGATTCGGACGGCTCGGGGGGAACTTTCTGATTGTGATTCGGACGGATCGGTCGGGGACCATGGCAGGCGGACAAAGGCACTGGAATTGCAGCATGGCGTGGCCAGCCGGGTCTAAAAGCGAGATCCGGGGCCAGCTCCCCGCACGCAGGAGGCACCCTGCCGGCTCGGCATTCAGGAGAGCAAACTGCTTCGAGCGCCGGGCCACCAACGTCGCAGGTCAAGTTGGCCAACACGTCCCGGGGCTAAAACGGTCGTTGTAAACAAGGTCCTGGGTATGAGGATGGTTGCAAAACGGGCCAGCAACCGGCCCACGCAGCCCGCTAGACCGAGGCTGCGGCGCGCCGCTTTATGATGCCGTGTGACCGCGAGCGCACCAGCGCGCCCTACCCAGGTCTC